ATCTATTATTCTCACTCATCTTTGAGATTTCAATTCCTGGTATGGAACCTGACACATAGTAAGCCATTAATAAAACAAATTGTCTTAGAAGATTCTACAGTCTGTGTGGGGGAATAATTCAGGAAAATAGGAATGGATATTACATCCCTGATTAGCAAGGTAGTTGTCTATTATACAAGTTCCTTTTTGATGAAGATCAATTGAGAGCAGAGATCTGCCCTTCGGCTCTCTTCCCTTGGGATACTATTTCTCTTCTCTGAACTTACTATGTTATTTTTAGCATGACTTATTTGCAAATAAATCTTACATGACTTAGAAATCTATGCACTGAATTTTTATTTAGGGTTTTTGTTCTTTTGTTTTCCAGGAAGGTATAGCTTGTTTTTACATGTCCGGTGGAAGCTGTAGATGCAAAATATTATCCTCCAGATTCCATTGCTAATAATTCTGTCACTTTTCTTTCCATATTGCAATAATGTGTGAGTTTCTCAAGCCTGTTTATTTCTTCCTTGTAGTGTTAAACAATGAAATTCCAATACTGAGCCTTTATACTAGCCAATTTATAGCCACAGTTTATATAAATTTTCACAAGCTGAAAAGAATTCCTTTTCCTTTCCAACTGTAAAAAATGAACTGTATTTTCATTGTTGAACTATCTTTGCAAATGTTTTACATAAGAAAGAATATGATATTTGAACTTCAGACATTGCTGTTATGTACTATGAATTGCAATCTCTAAGAAGACCATAATTCTGATTTGTTGCCATGCTTACTCTGTGTTCCTGGCAATAATATTTAAATGGATTCATCTACTCCTGGAAGCATAAATACATGGGAGTTTTCTTTGTTGAGCCATAATAAGCTTATCATCTCGTTCCTTTCCCCACCACATGCCTAGAGATTAAACAAATAAAACCCATAGCTTAGGCAATTTCTTATTTAAACAGAGTTAAAAAGTCAATAATATCATCTCTGTGCCTCAGTTTATTCATATTTCAAATGAACATCATAAAGCATAGGGTAGTTATAAGATTACATTAGCTACACCTGTGACTGACTCAAAAGCTCCATGTAAATATTCGTTCCGTATAGTTTTGTGCGCGCTTCCCTGCTAGCTCAGCTGGTAAAGAATCCGCCTGCAATGCAGGAGACCCCAGTTTGATTCCTGGGTCGGGAAGATCCCCTGGAGAAGGGATAGGCTACCTGCTCCAGTATTCTTGGGCTTCCCTAGGGGCTCAGCTGGTAAAGAATCTGCCTGCAATGCAGGAGACCTGGGTTTGATCCCTGGGTTGGGAAGATCCTCTGGAGAAGGGAACAGCTACCCACTTCAGTATTCTGGCCTGGAGAATCCCATGGACTGTATAGTCCATGGGGCCCCAAAGAGTCGGACACGACTGAGTGACTTTCACGCCCTCACTATGGTCCTGTGTGCTTCTGAATGTGCTGCGCCCACCAAGCAGTGTGTACAGAGAAGGCTGTATACACTGAGATCATCCTCAAGGTTTCGAAGAGAGACTGTGCCGTGAGGAGAAAGAACACTGGTTTGGGGTCAAGGGAGCTGCTTTTGAGTCCCACACCAGAGTCAGGAGCTGTGGGGCTATAGACGAATCATTTAGCCATTCTGAATCCTCTTTCCCTAATGTGGAAATGGAGAGAAATAATAACACTGATCCCTAGAATCAATGCATGTCAGTGCTTTGTCTCTGGGAAAGTGCTTTGACAGTGGGAACACTGATTGTACCGAAATGACAGCGTGGTCCCCCAGTCTACAGATTTTCAGCCAGGATGAGGAAAATATGTAAGTATATCCTAGAAAGAATTTTAGAGTCAGTCTCCCATGCTCTATTGACTTTTCAAGGCATCACTATTTTCATTGAATACTTTTTCATCAGTAAACAATTTTTGAGAGATGGCTATGTACCAGGCACTGTGCTAAATGTTGAGGATACAAAATCATAAAAAATACAGAGTTTGCTTTCAGAGAGCTTTTGGTAACTTAGTAGAGAAAGATAAACATGTAAATAAACATGGACAATGAGATTTAAGAGCTTATTAGAATTTTAAAGTTATATCTTGTCTAAATTAAAAAAAATTTTTAATTGGAGGATAATTACTATATGATGTTGTGTTAGTTTATGCCGTATATCAACATGAATCAACCACAGGTATACATATGTCCCATCTCTCTTGAGCCTCCCCCACACCCCATCCTACCCCTCTGGGTTGTCACAGAACACTTGGTTGAGCTCCCTGCATCATATAGCAAATTCCCACTGGCTGGCTATTTTACATATGGTAATACATAGGTTTCAGTGCTACTCACTTGATTTGTCCCACCCTCTGCTTCCCCTGCTGTGTCCACAAATCTGTTCTCTATCTCTGTGTCTCTGTTCCTGCCTTGCAAATAGGTTCATCAGTACCAGTTTCCTATATTCCCTATATATGCATTAGTACATATTTGTCTTTCTCTTTTTGACTTCACTCTGTATAACAGGCTTTAGGTTCATCCACCTCCCTAGGACTGACTCAAATTCATTCTTTTTAATGCCTGAGTAATATTCCACTGGGCTTCCTGCTTCCCTCGTAGCTGTCAGTAAAGAATCTGCCTGTAATGCAAGAGACCCAGATTTGATTCCTCGGTCCGTAGGATCTCCTGGAGAAGGAAATGGCTACCCACTCCAGTATACTTGCCTGGGAAACCCCATGGACAGAGGAGTCTCGTGGGCTGCAGTCCATCAAGGTGCAAGAGTTGGGACAGGAGTTGGACATGACTTGGTGACTAAACCACCACCAATATTCCATTGTATGTAGGTCACATCTTCTATCTGTCAGTGGACATCTGGGTTGCTTCCAGGTCTGGCTACTGTAAATAGTGCTGCAATGAACACTGGAGTACATGTCTTTTAAAACTGGTTTTCTCAGGGTATATGCACAGTAGTGGGTTGCCGGGTCATATGGTAGATTTAGTCCTAGTTTTTAAGGAATCTCTACACTGTTAACAATGGCTCCATCAATTTACATTCCCACCAACAGTGCAAGAGGGTTCCCTTTTCTCTGCATCCTCACCAGCATCTGTTATTTGTAGAGTTTTTGATGATGGCCCTTCTGACCAGTGTGAGGTGACATCTCATTGTAGTTTTGATTAACATTTCTCTAGTAATAAGTGATGCTGAACATCTTTTCATGTGTTTATCAGCTATCCATATGTCTTCTTTGGAGAAATGTTAAGTTATATCTTATAGGTGATTTAAATATAGAAGAAGTAGGTGGGGGGGAGTAGTTGAAGGGGTGATGATAGGCGATAGAACAAGAGCCTGGCACGGGACCTTACCCTAATTCTTCTATACCCAATCCTTCTAGACATCTGATAGTTGATGAGTGAGCAGGAACCTCTGTGTGTGGGAGAACCACAGACATACAAAAGGGAGGGTCAAGCATGCAGACGACTGGACACTGTTCAGGTCAGCTGACTGCATCCTACAGGTAAATCACGCGTGCAGGGAGTGGTGGAGTGATGGTTAGCAAATATAAGGTCACCTGGAAAATTCTAGTTATATATCATAGCTATAAAGCAAAGATGAATTTTCCAAAGGGCACAATGAAAGGCACAAACTAAATGCTTTATTCAGTTATGAATCATAACCATAGCCACAAAACTGGGCTCCTTATGTAACTCTCTGTTATTATTTGCATGATTGCGAAAACTGCAGCATGGACATGAACACTCCTAGTGGATTTAACTACTTATCATAGAATTTATCCCAAGGAGGTAGCTTGATGTAATAGAAAGAAGCATCAATAGGTATTCAAAGAGAAGAAAGGACTTGGAGAAGAGAGGAGTGGGGAAAGCAAGATGGAAGGAAGGATGGAAGGAAGGAAGGCGGGTAAGAGGAGGTAGGTGATGGATATTAAGACTGAATACTTAAATCCAAACTCTGACTCTCTAGTTAGGTGCACTTTTTTTTTTTTTGCCATGCTACATGGCTTGCAGGATTTTATTTCTGTGACCAGAGACTGAACTCATGCCCACTGCAGTGGAAGCACAGAATCTTAACACTGGACCACCAGGGAAATCCCTCGTTAGGTGAACTTTGACAAGTTATTGAACCTCTCTGAACCATATTCTTTTCATCTGGACATGGTGATTTACCTTTCACAGTGATTGTGAGAATTAAAAATTACTTTTATAAAGTAGTTACTTTTCTAACATGGCTGGTACACAAGTCCTTACTAGCTCATTGACAGTAATTTTTGTACTTAGGTAAATGGTGATGCTGCTACATGCAGCAACATCACCAACTTGTGTGTAGCACTATTTTGCATACTATTCATTTTTTAAAAACTATTTGTATTTTTGGCTGTGTTGAGTCTTTTCTCTAGTTGTGGCGAGTGGAGGCCACTCCCTAGCTGTGGTGTGTGGGCGTCTCATTGTGGTGGCTTCTCTTGTTGTGGAGCATGGCCAGGGCACGCGGACTTCAGCAGTTGTGGCTCCCGGGCTCGAGAGCACAGGCTGAATAGGTGTGGCACATGGGCCTCGTTGCTTTGTGACATGTGGGATCCTCCCAGAACAGGGATCGAACCCGTGTCTCCTGCACTGGCAGGCGGATTCTTTACCACTGAGCCACGGGGGAAGCCCCTACATTATTCTTAAACAGTTGCATGCAACAAACTACATGTACCATGATGGATTTGGAAAGAAATTTAGCACTTTGAAAAATAAGCAATATACTGAAAAAAATGCATGCTTCTCAAATGTTCTGTTGCATACAAATATGTCTCAGAATATCTAAATGAAAACACTAGCACCTCTACCTGTATCTGAAGGAAGTAACAGGCCTCAAACCTGAACACTATTTAAATTGCGACATGCACCTAAAGCCATAATGCTTTCTTCCGTATTTCCTTTGGAATGAAGGTGCTTTTGGAGTTATAACCGGAAGGGACTTTCTCTTAGATGGTGTCAGACATGGCGGGAATAAAGATTAAGGAGCAATACTCACAGATAGGATCTGGTCTCCTCTCTGGAGCTCCCCACTCAGGTCTGCTGGTCCACCAGCCAGAATGAAGGAGACAAAAATACCTTCTCCATCTTCTCCGCCCACGATGTTGAAGCCCAGGCCAGTGGAGCCTTTATGCAGGACCACCTTGCGGGGCTCCCTGCAGAAGCAAGTGGAGAATCACATCACAGGGTGGCCCAGTCAGGATTTACATCATTTTTACTTACTACCTATGAAAAGTGCTTCTCCAATTGTGATAAATTTGCATGTCAAAAAGATGCGAAAATCAGGGCAGATGTCTGAATGCCTCACTGTAACAAATGCCAGTATACCATGCAAATTTATCCCTTAATTCCCAAACATTTCCTTAAACCAGCTTTACTTGCAATTTTCCTTTGTTTATAACATCTGTTCTTGTACCGAGACTACTACAGCAGTATTCAATAGGATGGATGTATCCAAAAAGAGGAAGAGAATGTGGGGGACAAGAGACTAGACTGAATAGGCCAGATGATGAACTATATTACATGACAGGCTGTGGGCTTGTTTTTTGTTTAACTAAAATTTACTCTGGAGGCAGTGGGGACTCACTGGAAGATTTCTGAGGCATGGATAATATTTAAATCAATTTTAGGAAGATTACAAATGGCCATATGTAGGACTGATGGGAGTTGGAAGCACAGATGTGATGGCAGACAGGAAAGCCACTGAGGATGTTGACCAAGTAATCCAGGTTTAAGGAAGTGACAGCCTGCCCAAGAGGGATGGCAGTGGTAATGGAAAGAAAGGGCAGCATGAAAGAAGTAATTTGAGAAACCACTACAATATTGTAATTAGCCTCCCATTAAAATAAATTAATTAATTTAAAATTAGAAAAAAGGTAAATTGAAGGGAGGGACAGAGGTTGATTCAGGTACGGGAGGAGGAAGGAAGAACATATAAGTACTTGCAAAAATGGGAGCGTGTGGGTGGAATCCAGGGTACGAGCATGCGTATGATTTTTACACACTTAATTCCAGGTACTAGTGGGACATCCTTGTGGAGATGTGTGAAGCAGTTAGAGACAAAGGCTAGGAATTTAGATTCTCGGGGAGGACTGCAAAGGCAGATTTGAGGGTCATCAGTGAGAGGATGAGAGATCAAATCTTAAGCCAACAGTTCATTGAGATTGTTTAGAGGTTGAAAAATTATGAAACACAGAATTGCAAGGGTTCTAAGAGGGCATCTAGTCTGATCGTCTCTATCAGTAGTTTCAAAAAATGTATCCTGCAAGCCTCAGGTTTGACCAAGATTTTTTTAAAATATCACCTACCCTTCTCTTTCAAATATCTCAGTTCCAATTGTGAAATGTTACTCTTCTATTTTCCTACTCTTAATGATGTAAGAATGACAAAAAACCACCCAATCTATTTTTATTTTTTTTATTTTTTATTTATTTTTTATTTTTTTTTTAAATCACAACCATAGTGTATCTTTCTTTTTTTACATGTATTCCCCATCCTGGTCCCCCCTCCCACCTCCCTCTCCACCCAATCCCTCTGGGTCTTCCCAGTACACCAGGCCCGAGCACTTGTCTCATGCACCCAACCTGGGCTGGTGAACTGTTTCACTCTAGATAATATACGTGTTTCAATGCTGTTCTCTTGAAACATCCCACCCTCGCCTTCTCCTTAAAGTGGAGTATCGCTGCTTTACAATGTTGTGTGTGTTCCCGCTGTGCAATAAAGGGAATCAGTTATACATACACATATTGTTGTGGTTCAGTGGCTAAGCCATGACCAACTCTTTGTGACCCCATGGGCTGCAGCAAGCCAGGCTTCCCTGTCCTTCACTATCTTCTAGAGTTTATTCCAACTCATGTCCATTGAATCAGTGATGCCATCCAGTCATCTCATCTTCTGCCACCCCCTTCTCCTCCCGCCCTCAATCTTTCCCAGTGAAGCAGCTCTTTGCATCAGGTGGTTAAAGTACTGGAGCTTCAGCTTCAGCATCAGTCCTTCCAATGAATATTCAGTGTTGATTTCCTTTAGGATTGACTGGTTTGATCTCCTTGCTGTGCAAGGGACTCTCAAGAGTCTTCTCCAATACCACTGTTGAAAAGCATCAATGCTTCAGGGCTCAGCTTTCTTTATAGTTCAACTCTCACAGCCATACATGATTACTGGAAAAATGATAGCTTTGACTATACGGACTTTTGTCGGCAAAACAATGTCTCTGCTTTTTATTTATTTATTTTTTTTGGTTGGCATAAATTTCCTTTAATAATTTCTACATTTCCAATAGGATTTCATTTGAGGTTTAAGGTATACGCTGTTTAGGTTTTTCAAGTCTTTTCTTCCAAAGAGCAAGTGTCTTTTAATTTTGTGTCTTCTGTCACTGCCTGCAGTGATTTTGGAGTCCAAGAAAATAAAGACTGTCACTGTTTCCACTTTTTCTCCATATATTGGCCATGAGGTGAAAGGACTGTATTCCATGATCTTCGTTTTTTTCAATGTTGAGTTTCAAGTCAGCTTTTTCACTCTCCTCTTTTACCCTCATCAAGAGGATCTTTAATTCCTCTTTGTATATGCATTTCCACTCGTTTTTAGATCTCCTTCCCACTGAGGTCACCACAGAGCATTGAGTAGAGTTTCCTGTGCTACACAGTAGGTTTTTAATTAGTTATCTGTTTTTACACATAGCAGTGATTTCATGTCAATCCCAATCTCCCAATTTATCCCAACCCTCTTTCCCCCACCTTGGTAACCTAAGTTTGTTTTCTCAATCTATGACACTATTTTTGCTTTGCAAATAAGTTCATCTGTACCATTTTTTTAGATTCTACATATAAGCAATATTATATGATATTTAGGTCATCATAATAATGACTACACAGACTTTTTTATTTGCTATCACATTTCCTTGCATAAAGAGATGCATTATATCTATATTTACCCCTATTTGAGGAAAGGTGTACAATGCATGCTAGAGTTTGGACTATAAGTAATACGTAACAATGCTATGTATTAAGAGGTGACTTGAGAAACCTGTATGCAGGTCAGGAAGCAACAGTTAGAACTGGACATGGAACAACAGACTGGTTCCAAATAGGAAAATACATCAAGGCTGTATATTGTCACCCTGCTTATTTAACTTATATGCAGAGTACATCATGAGAAATCTTGGGCTGGAAGCACAAGCTGGAATCAAGATTGCTGGGAGAAATATCAATAACCTCAGATATGCAGATGACACCACCCTCATGGCAGAAAGCAAAGAGGAACTAAAAAGCCTCTTGATGAAAGTGAAAGAGGAGAGTGAAAAAGTTGGCTTAAAGCTCAACATTCAGAAAACTAAGATCATGACATCTGGGTCCATCGCTTCATGGGAAATAGATGGGGAAACAGTGGAAACAGTGTCAGACTTTATTTTTGGGGGCTCCAAAATCACTGCAGATGGTGATTGCAGCCATGAAATTAAATGATGCTTACTCCTTGGAAGGAAAGTTATGACCAACCTAGACAGCATATTAAAAAGCAGAGACTATTACTTTGCCAACAAAGGTCTGTCTAGTCAAGGTTATGGTTTTTCCAGTGGTCATGTATGGATGTGAGAGTTGGACTGTGAAGAAAGCTGAGCACCGAAGAATTGATGCTTTTGAACTGTGGTGTTGGAGAAGACTTTTGAGAGTCCCTTGGACTGCAAGGAGATCCAACCAGTCCATCCTAGGGGATATCAGTCCTGGGTGTTCATTGGAAGGACTGATGCTGAAGCTGAAACTCTCTAGCACTTTGGCCACCTCATGCGACGAGTTGACTCATTGGAAAAGACCCTGATGCTGGGAGGGTTGGGGGCAGGAGGAGAAGGGGACAACAGAGGATGAGATGGCTGGATGGCATCACTGACTTGATGGGCATGACTTTGAGTAAACTCCAGGAGTTGGTGATGGACAGGGAGGCCTGGCATGCTGTGATTCATGGGATCGCAAAGAGTCGGACACGACTGAGTGACTGAACTGAACTGAACTGACATAGAGTCTGTTCATTCTGATGGGGGTAGACTACTTATACGCAATACATGCAATAAGTTAGTTTGTTATAGGTTATGTTAGAAAGCAGTAAATCTTTTGGGAAAAAGAAAAAGTGGAGGAGTGCAAGGACAGGTGCTTGCAGCGATGAGCTTGGGCAGGATTTACTGAAAAGGTGACAGTTGAGGAAAGACTAAAGAGGTGAGGATTCTCATCATGCTAGCTAAAGGAGACATTCCAGCTAGAAGGGACAGAGGCCCTAAGATGGGAAGGTGCCTGGTGTTGTCAAGGAAAAGCTAGGAGGCCATTGTGACTGAATGAGCGAACAAGGGGATGAGAATGGTAAAAGATGACGTCAGTGTACTAGGTTTCTATTGATGAGCAACAAATTGCCACGAACTTAGTGGTGACAAAGTACCACAAACACCCACTATTATCTCTCTTGTAGGTCAGAAGTCTGGGTGGCCTTGTCTAGGTTGTCTGCCTAGGATTTCATAAGGTTGTTATCAAGGTGTCGGCCAGGACACTTTATTCGAGTGCTCTGGGGAAAAAGCCAGATCCATATACAAGTTAGGTTGTTGGCAGAATTCAGTATCTTGTACTTGTAGGACTGTTTTACATATATTGGCTTGGCCAAAAGAGTTCGTTTAGTTTTTTCTGTAAGATCTTATGAAAAAACCCAAATGAAACTTTTTTTGGCCAACTCAGTATTTTATTATAAGGAATTGACTGATGGAACCATGAATGATGAGTTCCAGGATCTACAGTCAGCAAGCTGGAGACCCAGGAGAGCTGATGGTATAACTTCTGGCTCAAGTTTGAGTCCAAAGTTAGGAGAAAAGCAATGTCCCAGATCAAAGGCCGAAGGAAAGAGCAAATTCTTTCTTTCTTTGTCTTTGGTTTCATTCAGGCCTTCAGTGGGTTGGATGGGGCTACTCATGAGAGAGGAAAATCAGCTTTACTCAGTACACTGACACAAATGATAGTCTCATCCAGAAACATCCTCACAGAAACATCATCCACAAACATTCACAAACTGAATACGGTTTAATTATCTGGGCACCCTGTGATCCAGTCAAGTTGACGTACAAACTTAGCCATAAAAGACTGAGGTCCTGTTTCCTTGCTGGCTGCGAGTTGGGAGTCTCTCTCAG